TGATTGGGATAAGTTAGGAATGCAGCACAGTCACATGACTTCAATATGAGGTGAGAGAAAGTGTGCTGTCTCAGCAGAAAGGCTTGGATGGTTTGAATCTGGGGAAGAAAGGAATAACCTGAGCTCAAAACTAAAATCTGAGTTCTTATAAGAGGACATTTGCACAAATATGGTCCATATACCAAGTTCTTGAAAGATAATGGAGACCTCAAAATTAATCAGATAGCTATGCAGTTGACATGCTACAAAGGAAAATCTTCTGTTTATGCAGGAGAGTAACACACTATGTGAATGTAACCAGTGTGGCAAAGACTTTAACTGGAGATTATCACTAAATGACCAGCGTAGAATTCATATGTAGAAAAATGAATAGATAAATGGATGTGGGCAAACCTTTAACAGCCTCTCATCTTTTCCTCAGTAGCATAGATTTCACACTGGAGAGGACTTCTTTGAGTATAATGAGAATGGGGATATATTCACTCTCGGCTCAACATTGACTCAACATGTGTTAACTCACACTGAGGATAAGCCCTACAAATGTAATGAATGTGGGAAACACTTCAACGAGAGAGCTTCCTTTTGTTCACACCAGAGAACTCACACAGGAGAGAAACCCTTTGTCTGTGATTAGTGTGGAAATGCCTTCAGTAACAATTCATCCTTCCAATGACATGAGTGAATTCATACTGCAGAGAAACCATATGAATATCATCTATGAGGGAAAACCTTTAGTTGATGCTCGAACCTTAGCCATCATGAGACAATGCACACTGGAGAGAAGCCCTATAAATATAATGAATGTGGGAAACACTTCAGCCAAATCTCAAGCCTTGGTATACACAATATATTCCAAGTAAAACAGGAAGGAAAGCAGCAAGTCTTTACCAGGAGGAGGAAGACATTTAGGAAATACCAGATCATTCATGTTAGAGAAGCAATTCAATGAGATAAACATGGGAAAACCTTTACTCATAACAGCAACACTCCAGGACGTGAGAGCATTCTCATTCTACAAAACACTGTCAGTGTCCTGAAGGAAAGAAAATCTTTAGTGGTCATATATACCTTAGTCAACCTTAAAGTTCTCGCGCTGGAGTTCCTCAGGCCTCAAGTCAATGTAAAAATGCCTTCATCTGGAACTTATATAAGAAATCTCTTACTGGAAAAAAAAATCTATCAATAACCCTTTAGAACACACTTCAACATATAATTTAGACTTTTGCCAAATGGCATGTTACTGAAAACAATGTAGTATAAAGATGTAGAACTGTGATACATTCTGGGAAACGTTGAATGCAGGATTTGGTAAGATGTAGTAAGAAATGAGATAACCTCTCTTCACTGGATGAATAAAAGTTGTTGATTAAAAATCTGGTACGTTAGTATTTGTTTTTAAAAATCATGAAACATGCTGAGTATTGGGGCATTTTTGCTTTATTACATCACTGTTGATCAGTTGATCAGTTTCCATTTTTTATGCAACTCTAAACATATTTACAAAGACTTTGCTCAATTAGAAAACAACTTTTAATGTAACTGAAAAAATTTACAACACAAAATAATGTGTTCTAATTATTATATTAGTGTTTAAATATGTATCTACATGGCAAAGGTGAATAGAAACATGGACAAGTAAGGACACACTTTGTAAGTGATTCACATATCCCAGGTGATACTGATGTGGGTGGTATACACACCATACTTTATGAAACACTAGAAAACACATAAAGGCTTGGAGGTGAGAAATATGATACATAAAAGCACTGAATCAAGTGTACAATATGGCTGAAATGTTGAGTACTAGAGGGAGAGAAGAGATGAGAACCTTGTATTCCTTTTTCTTAAAGGCAAGGGAAACCTATTAGAGGGTCTTAAGCCACAAGTAACACAATGAGATTTTTAGAAGGGCACAGTAGCTACCATGTGGAGACTGATTTGGATTGGAGGGGAGCAAAATTGGAAGTAAAAATACCATTTAGGTGACTACTGCAATAACACAGAGATGAGATGTTGACCTGGACTAGGAGAATGGCAGTGAGGAATGAAGAGGAGAGGAAAGATTTAATAGATTCTCTACAAGACTTGAGATTGAATATCCAGGAGATGGAGGACTCAAGAATGACATGTTGGTTTTGGGCTTGGGAAACTGACCAGGGTAGATGGAGGTACCCTTTACAGGCACAGGGAATATTGGAGAACCAGGTTTGGTGGAGAGGGTGAGCTTAGTTTTGGACATTGTGAGTTTCTGTTAGATTTTCAAATCCATAAAGTGATTGGATATTTGGCATGTAAATGATGTCTGAAGCTACAAGTATGGCAGAGATCACCCAGGGAGGTTATGTAGTACGTGAAAAGCAGAGGGCAAAGGATCAACCCCCGAGAAACGCCAACATGATGGAATGGGCGAGGAAAAGGAACCTACAAGTGTGATTGAAAGAAGTGACCAGAGAAGACAGCCTCAGAAGCTAATGGATGGTGGAAGTGGTCAGCTCTGTCGGATGCTCTGGAGAAGTCAGGACTGGAGTGAGTCTGTTGAATTTAATGGTGTGTGTTCATTGGTGATCTTAACCCAGACTGTTTCAGTGGAGCGGTAGAGGGGGAGAGAGTGCAGAGCTCCAGAGGTGAGAAAATGCAGTAGGTATGTGTAGACACCCTCCCAATAATTTGATGGGGAAGAGAGGAGAGATGTAAGATGGAAGTTAAAGGAGTGCTTGAGTTTAGAAATAGTTTTATTTTAGATGGGAAATACAGGAGCATATTTAAATGATAATGAGAAACGACCAGCAAAGAAGGAAGGGTTCAAGAAAGACTGGAGAGAGATGATTGATGGACTAAGGTCCTGAGGAGGCCAGAGAGAATGGGATCCAGAGCACATTAGGGTCCTCTTCATCACAGGCTAGATACAGAAGTCAATGGGTTTGTAGATTTGTGGATTTGTAGTGAACCAGGGAAGGTACCACAGAGGGAGAAAAGATTTTAGACTTTTAGTAAGATAGTACGTGGATTGGGAACCTAAGGTGGGTAGAAAGTAAGTCAAAGCAGGAGAAAGCTGTTAGAGAACAATAAGGAAAAAATTGCTTAATGAACCCTTGAAGTTGAAAAATTGGTGTATTGAGAGTAATTGGATAAATGACCCAAAAAGATAGACAGTTGTGTTCAGGGAACAGGATTCCTATTCAGAGGTAGAGCAGTTTTAGGTCACAACACAGCCCAGGGTGTGCTCATGGGGGTGGTCAAGAAGGACATCAGAGATGAGGAGATGACCTTCTAAAAGGCTGGGATACACGGTTCATGTTGGGAGGGACCCAGTCTTCTAAAAGCCTGGGATACGCGGTCTGTGGGAACAATGAAGTTTCCAACAGTAATGGCAGAACTTGGTGTGGAGAGCATGACCCAGGTGCCCAAGTCATAAAAAATAAGTAAAAATTTCAAAAAAGAGGAGTTTAACAGCTATAACAAATGGTGGAGGGCAGTTATTCTCCATTGGCTCTAACTCACCTTCCCCCAGTAATATCCCTCATCTTCTCCCCACCCCCTAAAAAATATTCTCTTTGCAAATAGATTACTTGTTATACAAAAGTGAGTTCAAAACAAGTCTCGTAACAGGAGTTCCAGGGAGCTCCTTAGAAATGCCTGAGAAAAGAGGAGGAGTGGGAGGTTGAGTCAAGGGAGAGAAAGCATAGAAGAGCAGTATTGGGGTGAGTATCAAAAGAGGATTAATGGTCTGAGGGATGCACATTTTGGGCAATGACAGAGGAAAGTATAATTCGCGGTGGTGGTTTTAGCTAGCTTTTGAGCTAAAAAGGCCTGCCAGTGCCCTCTATACATAAATAAAATAAAATACTTGAGTGGACACCCTGGAAAGGAGGTGCATGTATGTGTGTTGGCAGTTGGATTGTGGTGGGAGTTGGGGGAATTCTTGTTTCTGGTGCATGAGTGCAAATATTGCTAAGCCGTGACCTTAGTTTTAAATTTTTTATTATAGTTTATGCATATTCATTTCTTTAGGCACCTAATTGAAATAATTTTCTTATCTACGTTGTTCTTCTGTGAGAAATTGATTCCTGGATATGGGAACAGTTACTGTGTCCAGCATTTAACCACTTCTTTAGCAGGCATTTATTTAGGGCATTTTAGGTGCCAGGCCCTGAACTAGCCCTGGAGTTACAAAGAAAAATATGAATTATGGCTTTTTCACAAGTCCTTTTAAATAATACGTTAACATCCTAGATACATTAATCGTATTTTCTTACAACCTTCAAAAGATATTGATTTGATAGGTTCACTTCTAGTTAATCAGACACTGCAGTAGAATCAGTGTATTAATGTCTATGATTAAAACTATTGAAGAACTGCCAGTTTTAAAAAAAGTCTAGCTAACAGCTATTTCCAAAATCTGCTTTGTCCAGTTTTCCTCATCTGTTTATTTTAAATTTGTTAACAGTCCTTAGATCCTTTCTGATAGGTGCTCAGTAAATGTTTGTTAAATGCAAAAATCCATGGGAGTACGCTACACTATTTCTAACTTCCACACGTTTTAAAGAAATAAGAATACATATGGAGTCCTATAAAACATATTACATGATTTTTAATCTTAAATATAAACTGCCTCATCAAGTCAATAATGAAATATGTATTTGCTTCTCTGGATCTTACAGTGGAATCTAGAGCTAGGACTTTTTCCACATCTTATAGTTGAAGAAGAAAACAGTATTATCGTTAACACACTGGTGGGATCCCATGTGACAGCTTACATGGAAGGCTCGCTCCTTCCTCTCCCACCGCTCCAGACCTGCTGGAGGAAGAGCCTGGAAATAGCTCTCCTGTTACCCGCATTCTCAGAGATCTGAAGCATGCCTGGTCCTAAGAAATCCGCAGTTTGTTTGTAATGGTCTTTTAAAAAGTATCCCCTCACTCAACAAAAGTCTATTTCAAAGTACTTAGAGTATCAGGATGAATGTGTGAAATTTCATTGTGTATTTGTACTTTCTTTATAGGATAGAGATGCACAGAAAGAGGTGAAGAAAATAAGCACTTCCTTGAAGAGGTAAATAAAAGAACTTGCTCTTCAACAAATCAGATGTGGTCTACTAAAATTTAAACTAATCAAAGTTGTGTTTTTTATTATCCTTTTTTCTTTTTTGATGTAAGGGTAAATGTGCTCAGATTTGAAAGTAAAACCACGTTTCTGCAGAATGCATTCCAGTAGTAGCACTACAAAACTAATCATGTTATTTGGAGAAATCTATTTCCTATAATGTCAGTACAAAATGATCTTTAAACATGTATACTTTATATTTTTCCTATCAATAAACTGTGGTATTCAGAATATTTCTTTAAATAAAATATTTAATTTAATCCCATCTAAGTGTTCTGTTGTTGCTTCAATGGAGACTACAAAACAAGATAATTTCATTAATGTGGATGAAAAATGGGAAAAAAATGGGCAAAGGACATGATTAAGTTGTTGACTGTAGTGCCATCTAGTCTGTTCCAACTTCTAGCGACCCTGTGTACAGCAGAGCAGAAACCTGCCTGGTCTTTTTGCACCATCCTCTCACTTTCCAGTGCTATATCACCTAGTGCTCTGCTGCTTTTCGTAGGGTTTTCATGGCCAGTTTTTTCAGAATTGGGTGGCCAGTCCTTCTTCCTAGTCTGTCTTGGTCTGGAAGCTCCAGTGAAACTTGTCCACCATGGGTGACCCTGCTGGTACTTGAAATACCACTGGTATAACTTTCAGCATCACAGCAACCTGCAGCCACCACAGTATGACAACGACAGACAGATGGTGTGGTTTCCTGACCAGGAAACAAATCCTGGCCATAGCGGTGAGGTGCCGAATCTTAACCACTAGACCACCAAGGCTGGCTAAGTTGTTAATAGAAAAAAAAAAAAAAAAGAGGAAATATATTGTAATTAGTAATCAGAGGAATGTGAATAAAATTACAATGAGATACTGTTTTACCGTCAAATTAGGAAGAATTTTTTTTTTCTTTTAAGAAACATTCGATGCTGGCAATGATGCCATGAGGTGGAACATTCTCATACACTGCTGGTGGGGGGGTATTTTGATGCAAACGTTTGGTTAAATGTATCCAGAGCCTTAAAAATGTATTAGCTCTTTAACCTTGTCATTTCTTTTCATGGAATAATCCTAAAGAGAAAAAGTACGATTATTTATGCACAAATGTTCATAGCAGCATTATTTATTCCAGCAAAAAACTATGTCCAACAAAAGAAAGCAGTTAACCATATTAGAATATAACTATAATAGAATATTATTTTGATATTAAAAATAATTACAAAAATGATATAGGGAAATGCACACAGCATCTTAAGTGCCAAGTACAAGACAAAATAATATATACATATTATCTCAACTTTATGAAAATGTGACAGAAAACATCTATTGGAAATACACTAAAATGGTGGTAGTTCATATTTCTGTGGAGCTATGTATTATTTCTTTTATTGCCCAATTTTTAATAATAAACCAAAAGGATTTTTTTATAATTGAACTTGGCTGGCAATAATCTATAATGATTCTACCCTTTAATCAGCCTCATCCTGGAAATCAGGTCAAAACTTGAATTCCCTTTTTGCTATCTGAAATACTTAGACACACACACACACACACACACACACACACACATCTATACAACTCAAAATATCAAGCCCTGACCTAGTGATGCCAGTTAATTAAATTGAGCTACTTTCTCCTTCTCATATTTTATAATGGCCCATCAAGATACCTGAATCAGTCCAACTGATTCTTCCCAAACTCTGACAACTGGTCTAACATTGAATCTACTGCTAGAAGGGGCAAGAGTCTTGCCGGTGCCCTCACGGATACACAGTGTCCACAAGGCTGTGGATACCTCTGGCTATCTCTAAACAGCTAAAAGAATGTACCCATTGAAACAGGTGATTCCAGCTAGCAGCAAATGACATAGAATCAACCACATTATAGGCTCCGTGGGAGCAGCTCATTCCAGCAGAGAGCAGTACAAAGACTTGCACTAAGAAATATGAGGAACATCCAGACTACATTTCATGGATAATGTTGGGACTTGATACTCATAAATGGAACATGACATAAGATCTAACCAATCTTTATTTGTTTTAACAAAATTCCTATTTGATCCCTGTAGTCAGTAGGTCTTCAGTGGACAAGTTGATGCCCCTTGATTGAGTGATCGGTTTCTGGATAAGGACTTGACCCAATAGGAGTATAACACTCCTAAAAGTTATTTGAATCTTTTAAGTATTAGGAATTTCTGACACATTTGACAATTTCTCCAGCAGGTTGTTAACAGAGGAAATCTTCCTCCTCATCACGGTGATACTGTATCCCCTTCAAATTCACATTAAAGCCCTGCCGTGTGCTCCATTCCAGGGTCACACCTAGTCAGATCTAGTCTTCGTCAAATTATATAATCAAAGGGTCAGTGTGTGATGAGGCCTACTAAAGACAATTTCCACATTAAATCTCCCCCCTTCTAGAAGCTGAGTATTCTTGGCAGCACCAGATGTATATTATTACACTTACTCTGGTGAATTTCTCACAATGTGAACCATGTGAACTGTAGCTTTCCTTTCTGTGGTTACTTCACTCACCGCTCATGCTGCTGACCTGAGAGAAGACAGATTAGCTGCAGAGTGTTTCTAAAATGATTTCTTCTGGTAGCTCACTAAGGCCGAGCTAATGGTACACCCTGCATCACAGATGAAGTACACAAACTCCTAACTTTTCAAGGGACTTCTTGCACAGCTTTGGAAAGGGAAAGTTCTGATCCAGAACTTTGAATATGTTCAATTTCAGAAGATAATAAACTGTATGTTAAAATTTCTCATAAAACATTAAAAAAGTAACTTCATGTTCCACTAAAATTTTAACGATTGTCATGCCCATGTAATTTGCAATGTTGTTATCTTTCTTAATAAATAACGAATGACCTTCATTGTAACGTGTAAAAAAGCTTTTCATTTGATAATATTTGTGTTATTTTGAATTGTAAAAAACAGTATTAACAGCTGGACAGGACCCTATAGACCAACCTTCTCATTTTGCCAATAAACTGTTTAAGCTCTGATGCATAAGTAACAGGGACGGGGTCAGAGAACTGGTGACTGGCCAAGCCAGGACTGGGTTCCAGGTCTTGGAATCTCATGGCTTCTGCACTGTTCTTTGAGCCCAGGGCTTTTTACATTTAACTGATTGGAATCCCTGGAGTAGATGAGGGGCTCTGAGAATGGTACCACTTGCATGGTTCTACCTGTTCTAAGTGCTTTACCTATATTAACTCATTTAATCCTCACAGTAACCCTATAAGGAAGGAACTTTTGTTATTACTCTATTTACAGGTAGAGGAGCTAAAGCACAAGATATTAAATACCATGCCTAGAACGTCATGAGATTTGAACTTGCGCAGTCTGCTCCAGAGTCCATGCCATAGTCTGAACAACTATGCAATCCTGCCAGCAAATGGGAGTGGAGGGGTGGGGAGTAAAAGACAGACGGTAGAAACAGAGCAGGGAAAAAAAGGAAGGAAGGGAAAGAAAGAAAGGGGGTATACAAAAAAAGAACAGTAGAGAGGGATTGTAAGGAAAGAAGGAAAAGAAAAGTGAGAGCAGACTTAAAAATCTTTGCTTGCATTTATTTTTTGGATATCGATACTCATTTTCTGGTTTCACATCATAAATTTGTATCTTGCATTATATTAAATCTGTTTTCATATTCCCTCCTTCTCTTCCTCCTAAGATAGGGAAAGAGAAAAAAGGGGATGGTTAAGCCTGTTTTAAAAGACTTGCTCCACTAGATCTGTGTGTGCAGAGAAAGCCTCATTATGGACTGTGTGAGCAATTAACAGGAATATTTTATTTCACAACTGAAGGCAAAGTCATGTTTTAGAACCAAGTATAGTTAATATCTTGATGTTCTGTCGTTTTTGCAGCTCCCAAACATATTTTGTTCTAGGTGCCTGAAGTCAAATCGTAAGTTTTTTTTTTAAATAGATTTATTGAGGTATAATTGACATACAAAAAAATGCACCTATTTAAAGTGTATAATTTGATATGTTTTGAGATATATATATATGTATATTCATGAAGACATCACCACAAGATAACAAACATTTGCATCACCACAAAAGTTTCTTCATGCCCCTTTGCCATCCCTCTCCTGCCTCTCCCTGCACCTCCCATCCCCAGGCAACCATTGATCTGCTTTCTGTCACTATAAATTGCATTTTCTAGACTTTTATATAATTGGAATTGTACATCACGTACTCTCTTTTTTTTATTTCTTTCACTCAACATAATGATTTTGAGATTATGGCAGCAGGACTTTTCTTTCTCAATCTTCCTAAAAAGGGGCAGGAAAGCATCCTTCTCCCTACTTTGTCTGGCGGCTGCTTGAACTGCCTGAGGTTGAAGGCGGAGGGTGGGTTATCTACTGGTGCAGTGAGTGGTGAGTCCACCTCCTCACGGGACTGGAACTCAGAAGCAGGAAAGCCAGCAGATTGAAGTCTGTTGCAACTTCCTGAGATTCCTCCATTTTTTAGTGTGTACGAATAGTTTATTCCTTTTTGTTGCTGAGTGGTATTTTATTGCATGGATATACCGCAGTTTTTTCCTTCATTCAGCTATTGATGAACAGTTGGGCTGTTTCCTATATTTGCTTATTACAAATACATCTATGAATATTCATATAAATTCTTCAAATGGACACATGCTTTCATTTCTCTTGGATAAATGCTTAGAAGTAGAATGGCTGAATTGCATGGTAGATGGATGTCTAGCATTTTAAAAACTTGTCAAACTGTTTCCCAAAGTGGTTGTACCATTTTACACCCTCACCAGCAATGTGTGGGAGTTCCACTTCCTCTACCTTCTTAACAACGCTTGGTGGGTACGGTCAGTCTTTTTACTTTTAGCTACTGCTCTAGGTGTGTAGTGATATCTAATTAGAGTTTTAATTTGCGTTTCCCTAGTGACAAATTATGTTGAGCATATTTTCATGTACTTATATGCCATTCATATATCTTCATTGGTGAAGTGTCTATTCAAATGTTTTGCCTATTATTTTAATTGAGATGCTTGTTTTCTTTTTTATTGAGTTTTGAGAGTTCTTTCTATATTCTGGATAGAAGTCCTTTATCACATATAATTTGCCAGTGTTTTCTCTCAGTCTGTGGCTTGTCTTTTAATTCTCCTAACAGAATTGTCTTTCACAGAACAAAAGTTTTTCATTTTGATGAATCAATTTATACTTTCATGTTTCTGGTTTTTTGGTGTTGTATCTAAATATCTTTGCCTAATCCAAGACCATAAAGATTTTCTCCTATATTTTCTTCTAAAAGTTT